CGGTGCCCCGGTGTCTCGGTGCGCCAGGACTGCCAGACCTGTTCTACACGGCGCGACCATTTGCGCGGCGTTGGCATTCATCCATTCAAGCGCTTGCCGCGTTGAATAAATAAAACATCGATAGTGGCGACGAGGCTCGTCTGTGCGCGCGCGTGTGTGTGTGTGTGTGTGTGTGTGAGTGTGAACCGAAAATGTACAAGATGTAAAACACATCGGCTTTATTAGCGTAGGTGTTGACCGTGCTGACATGTTAGGACCCACCAATCATTTTAATTTACTATTTGTTGAAGTTTTTTCGTTTTTACTACTGCGCCTCTGGGCCACGCGCGCGTGCGCAGCTGAGGCCGTCCGGCCGGCCAGGTCGGTCGGTTTACGCTAAATGCCATTAAGGTTGGCGTGGCGTGGCGTGGCGGCGCGTAGCGCTGCGTCTGTTTTGGGGGAGTTGCCTCGGCGTCGTACACGAAAGATCGCTATCTCCTCGTCAGCCTTCCAGGCCCCTTCCAGGCCCCTTCCAGGCACCTTCCAGGCCCCTTCCAGGCACCTTCCAGGCCCCTTCCAGGCCCCTTCCAGGCCCCTTCCAGGCACCTTCCAGGCACCTTCCCGGCTTCCAGGTTTCGGTTGCTTCGAATTAAACGCTTCCTGGCCCTAGCCTCCTTCCCACAGTGAGTAGAAGAAAGGCCGCGAGGGAGGTACTGTATCGCGACACTGATTCTGTCACGCAGGCGGGCAGGCTTCCAAACTCTTCTCGTAGCACATTTCGCGCAGCTGACCCGCGGCTCCAGCTTTTTATAGGTTCCAATTCATCGTCAGGCTGCTTTGCGGTGCAAGGCATGCGAGTCACGGACTTCCGGAAGGCCGCAAGGCGGCCCGGCGCGGCGCGCGGGACGCATCGAAAAGTTAATCAGTTAATGATGTGTGCCGTGCGCTGCGGCGCACTGCCCTGCCGTGTGGCTCGCGATGTCGCTCCGCGTTTAGGCATTTAACGGTGACTGGCAGGCCGGTCACTTTATCGCTCTGTTCCCAAGCCATTAGAACACGGACCAGCGCCACCAATAATTACAGCTAATACTGTTCGAGGTGGTTCTGCCTTTGGTGGTAGTAATGGCCACTGTTGCATACTTGACTGCTGGAGGCCCTCCCCCTCTTCCGCGCGCAGGGAATGCGAATGCACCCTTTCCCTGCCGGCCCTGCCCCCAGACAATGTGACACCTTGTCGCCTTGATTACCGCCACGGAATACATTTGCGTCCTTTTCGTGTATTTCGGCATTCCACGGCCACGTTGCCCTTGAGGCCCTTGGGGGCCTTGGGGGCTCCCCGAAGGGCCCGTAGGGCGGGCGAGGGTCGGAGGGGGGTGCGCGGGGTCGTTGTAACCACGTGCAAACGTAGCTTATATGCAAATGGCGGCGGTGGCCCCCCGCGCGAGCGGTAAAAATGCCGTCACTTGGACATTCATTTGAAATGTAAGTTCCGCGCGTTGCCGCGCCGTGCACGCCAAGCGCCCCGCCATAGCCCCGCTACACTTTCGCCCAGCAAGGGCTTTGGCTGGCTGTTCGGGCTGGCGGCCGGCCGGCGCGCGAGATTTAAGAGTGTCCATGTCAGATTACAAGCCCGCCCGCCTCCCCTGTTGGTCCAAACAAGACGTGACGCCCTGAATGGCCGGCCGCGTTATAGAGACCTCAAATGAAGACGTATTATGTGGGCCGGGCCGCGAGCCCCGCCCGCGAGCCCCAGGCAAGCGGCGAAGCCCCCGACAGGGCCGGCAGGCGCACTGGGGCATTAATGTGGCTTATTGTGTCGCCTTATACAGGCAACGCGTTGAGTTTTAAGGCGCAGTCATCCCCTTTTTCCGTTCAGAGGGGATAATAGAAAGCCCCGTGCGTGCGTGCGTGTGTGTGTGTGTGTGTGTGTGTGTGCTCACGTCCGACGCCCCGCCAAGTAGTAGTCACCGTGTCTCCGAGCAGTCCAAGTATCTATCCATCTTGCTAGCACTTCGCTTGTCGCCCCACCGGCCAGTCAGTATGATTTATCACGGAATTATGTATGCCGAGCGGTGTGTTCGGTTCTGTGTGCGTGTAGCAACGGGAGCCTCCGCTAAGTTTCACCTCCTCCTTATCCCATTCTGATTGCTCCCCGTTGCGCCGTCGCGCGATGGTGGGACAGCGGGCCTGCGCTTGGGCCTGCGTGCGCAGAAAGCCCGAAGACTAGGCGGCAGACAGGTATGCACCATTCAGGTTCGGTTCCCCCGTGCACACACTGTGCACCAGCCTAGTTCCATACGATTATCTGAGCTGGATCATGCCGAGGTGAGTCAAAGCGAGCCTCTAATTAATTGAATTCAAGCAGCGGGCCGTGTTCGACTTTGCGGTGTAACGCCTGGTTATTATTAAATACAAATCTGCATGGATCCTCCCCTTTTTCCCGTGCGTTTGACACACGCAAACGCAAACACACACCCGCACACACACACACTGAATCAATTCCGTCCGAATGAGCGCGTCTTTTCAAAGCATCCACAAAGAGGAAAAGGGGGCGCCTAGAAGACAAATTGGCTCACGCACTCCGACACTCACACACACACACACACACACACACACACACACACACGTGCGCGTGTCGATGGGCGTGCATATAAATACCGGTCCCGCGCGACGCACACACGTTTAGGCCCTTCAGAGGGGAGATGAAGCGCGCGGTCGCCACTGTGTGAAATTCGGTCGGGCGGCCGCGACGCCGCGGACCGTCGCAGCCAGATATAAAAGACCTAAAGAGGTTATGATAGAGATATATTACCATAAGCGAGTGCATATGTCACATTGTGTGCGCTCGCGCCGAATCTGTGTTTGGAGGGGAGGCGGCTTGGCCCGGCGGCGGCCCTGCTCTGGATGGGACGGGTGTAAATAAAAGTCACTGAAGCAGCAGTAATGCCTCGCGCCACCCCGCCCCGCCCCGCCCCGCCCCGCCCCGCCCCGCGCACCCGCAGGCCGCGCCCTCCCCGCGGTGCGGTGCGGCGCGGTGTCGGCCTCGGTCGCGCCGAGCGGTGGCTCCAGAGCCAGGCATGGCGCCGGGCATGGCAGCGAGGGCCTAAGGCAGCGGCGCAGCGGCCATCTCGCCGCGAGCCGAGCCAATCGCGGCGCGCCAAGCCGGGCCAGCGCGCCGCGGCCGAGCCGAGCCGGGCACCGAGCGACGCCAATTATTCTGTCATGCGAGCTCACCTGCACACCAGAGCACCGGCGGAGGGGGTCGCCGCGCTCCGCCGCGCGGCCGCCAGATTTAGACGGACGGCACGACAAGTGTTCATACTCGCGCCAAAACTTTTCCCGCGCTATCACAAGGGGGCGGGGTGTAAGGCGACTTAACGACTTCTGGCAATAACAACCGTGGCGCGGCGTGGCGGGGCGGGGTGGCGGTGTTTGATGGCGCGGAGGGACGCCGAAATCGCTATTATCATTCACGTTGGTCACGGCCACTCGCCGCGCCCCGCCGCGCCGCTTTTTAGCGGTAATCGGCAACGCGGCGACGCGGCAGCGCGACCAACGAGTTCCATCCTATCCCGAGTCGCAGCTCGGCTGAGCTCGGCGACGGCCGCGATGATGCTGTGAGAAGCGCGGTGGAGCGTGCCCCGTGACTCCGCGTCCTCCCCTCCGGCCGGCTGCCGCCGCGGCCGCCGCTGCATGGTGATGCCCGGCCCGGTCAAGGCAATATTTATATCTGGTTTTGTTCCCGGCGGTGCCCGCGCAGTCACACAACGGCAAACACTATTATTTAGCGGGATGAGCTATGGACGACACGATTTTGCGGTCGTTTAAGTGGTGATCACACGACGCACACACGGGGCTGTTGTTTAGTTAATGGTGGTCGTGTGTGTGTGAGTGTGTGTGTGGAGGTACTGGAACGGTCTCTCCCTCGCAGATTACATTGTGCGACGCTCACTGTGTGACACTTCTCGCGCATAACCTGAACGCGCCAAGATTTATGCCAGAAAAGTTAGCAAACATTGAGTTTGTGTGGACGTTGCCGTTTTATGTCTCCTCTGTGTGTGTGTGTGTGTGTGTGTGTTTGCACGACTGTGTGTGCTTGTGTGTGTGACACTACCACAGCGCGGCCGCAACTCGCTTTCCTTCCTTCCTCTGCGCGCGGCGCGCTCCATGGGAAAACTATGATGTACGCGGGCTTCGCTAGCTTCGCCAGCCCAGTCCATTCCGCTTCTTTCCAGTGACTGGACGCGAGGGGACGCCACAATCAAAGTGCCATCCATCGCGGAGGCGGGGGTGCGACCGTGGTGCGACCGGGCCGCGAGGGCCGGGGGTGGATGGAGGAGTCAAGTAGTACGCTGGCGAGGCCCGCCCGCCAAAACCCACACGGTCGCAATCAAACCCCGATTCGTCTCGGCAGGGGGAGGGCCGCGCGTTGCGTCGCGTCGCGCTCGGCTCCCACACGAAAGCACGAAGGGCGGCGCGCCGCTGACCGGCCACTCTATAAATTGCCTACCCAACAAGGCGTAATAATTGGCACCGGGGCGGGACGCAGACGCGCGGGGGCACTGGGAATGGCGCCTCACGCCATGATGCATCCCTGCGCTTTAGGACGCCAAATTGAGCAGTGCACCGTCGCGGTGGCAGTGCCGGCAGTGCGAGCAGTGACCTCCTTGGCGACTAGCCGCGCAAGGAGCCCCGCCAACCCCTTGCTTTACGATGCTGATGACGGAGCGCGCCGCGCCATGCCGCGCCACGCCACCACCTCCACAATAATAATGATAATAATACCTCGGCGTACACGTGCAAGCGGGGCCGGGCCGGCCGGCCGACACGTTTTATAGCTCGGCGTTGTGTATTTAACCTGCAATGTTAGTAACGAGGTATAACAGAACACAGTCTTTTCATTAACAACACCCGAGCTGGCCGACGGCCGGCCGTGGCAGTGCTGCGGCGGACGCTGCCCCGGAAATGACGCGCACACCGTGTCGCCGCGTTGCGCTGACCAGTCTCTTTCTCTGTTGCAGCCTCCCGGACCAGTGACCCCGCCGCCCTCGAGTGTGCTGTCTGGCGCCCGCTCCCCCCTGCCGTCGCCGCCGACGCCCCAGGACCGCGCCGTCCAGCCGCCGCTGCACCCGCACGCCCAGCACCCCCTCCTCGGGCTGAGCGCGGGCCTCAGCATGGCCGTGACCACCATCACCGGGCCGCCGCCCGCGCGCTCCGCCGCCTCCCCGCCGGACTCGGCGCACTCGGCGCACTCCGCGTCGTCGCGGTGCTACGACTCGGGCGCCGCGAGTCCCCCCGAGTCCGCGGGTCGGACGGCGGAGGGGCTCGCCGGCCTGCCCGGCGCCCCGGGACTCAGGCCGCCCCCGGCCGGCGGGCCCGGCGGACGGTGCTGCGACACCGGCCGGCCCATCTTCACGGACCCCATCACCGGGCAGACCGTGTGCTCCTGCCAGTACGACCTCCTCAGCTACCAGAGGCTGGCCTCCGCGGGGGCCGGCCTGCCGCTGTCCATGTACTCGTCGCCCTACCCCGAGGGCATGGCGGCGTACTTCCCCGCGCTCGGCGCGGACCAACCACCCTTCTACTCGTCGCCGGTGAGTGCCGCCTACATCGCGCTGCTGCAGTGTAGTGGAACTAGCGCGGCCGCCCATTCGTCATGTGTTTGAACACTCAACAAGTTGCCGCCGGGCACCAGCGGGCCCCTCGTGCAGTGCAGCACCGTGCAGCACACACTACACGTACCGTTTGTCCCTCTAAGTCTGAGTAATGCCGCTTTTGAGCTGCTGCGTGCCCTCCTTCTCCTCCCCCGCGTTGGCCTTCCACAAAGGCGGGGCCCGGCCCACGCCCCGGCCGGCTCTCGCGAGAAACGGTATAATTCTGAGTTAGTGCGCTACTTCCATAATTAAATCTTAACTGTCATCACTGCGCGTGCACATGGCGCCAAATCTCCGGCGCCTGTCCCGCGGCCCCGCGCCGCGCCGCCCGGCCGCTTGTAGTTACGACGGGAGTTAAGCAGCTCGAGTTACGCCCCGCCTTGCCCGCCTGCCCCGTGGGCCACCGTGGGCCCGGCCGCCAAAGTGGGGAGGTGCAAGCACACTGCAAGCTGGTGGCCCCGGACCAGTCAATCGCCACACCTTGCTTCCTGAAAGTGAGAGCCACTCCTTTCCTTTCTCGCCCCCTCCTTTGTCCGGAGACGGAGAGTCCCGGGTGACACCGCCGAGGTGCCGTCTTCTACCTGGGCGTCGTTAGAGCGCCTCGTCGGCCGCGCTGTCACTCTGCGCCACTACTTATGTCACTCACACACACGCGGGCCGCGTTTTTTTGTTTTTGTTATTTCACCTTCTTTTTTCGTCCCGCTGCACCGCCGCCGCCGCCGTGCTGCTGTTGGTTTTATTTGGTGGCGCTGCGAGCCGTGCCGCCCTGGCTCCGTTTTCGCGGGGAACTCTAAACCAGGGGAAAGATGACGCAGCTGTCACGACGACCGTTTGACATTCCCCGTCCGTGTTTCCTTCCAATTGCTTTTATTCCGGCGGGATAAAAGGTCAGCCACTAATTGGGAGCGAGTCGGCGGCAAAAGGGTAGAAAAATCTCGAGACGACCCGCGAGGTGCCACGGTACCTCACGTATATGACTAGCCGCGTAACGGGGGCAGCCCGGCCGAGTTCATAAATAAGCCGGCTAAAGTGGCGAGGCGAGTGTTGATGTGTCGATGGATTTTTGCGTCCCGATTAGGCCAGCCGGGCGGCCGGTGCGCGCCTCCCGAGTCCAGGAAGGCAGCGCACCTGCTCCGAGCTGCTCCGGGGTGGAACAGGGAACGGGGGGCCTGGCCGTGGCCTGGCAGTGGCGTGGCGTGGCGGGGTACCGGACACACACGATGTTCCGACGTCGTTAATTCCACGTCCCAGTCGTCGCTGCCAGACACTTTATCGCGCGTTGTCTGTGTGCGGAGCTGAGTGTGTGTGTGTTGTGTGTTCTTCCCTCACACCGGACAATTTTTCGTCGACCGTGAAAGTGGTTTCCGTACAGTTTCCGCCCGTCCGCCGTGTGTTTGTCCGTTTGGTCCCGCGCGATCCGTCACGCGGTCCTCTTTCCCTCCTCGCCGGGCGTTTAGGTCCCTGGACGCTCACTCTGTGCGCGCGCTCCAGAGGGAAGGACATTACACGCCTTGAGACCTTGTCGTGTTTGTGTGTGTGGGTGTGAGTGCTGCCAGTTGTTAAGTCGCCCTCATTGTCTCGCAGCGTGTGATTATCGTAGGAAATTTCTGCCGCGTTTTGGTCCGCTCCTGTCCGTTCCTGGCCGCGCTCACGCCACGCCACGTCACCGTTCCCAAGTTTGAGCGGCCCGGCCGGCCAGTCGCGAGCTGTCAAACACGCCGGGGATATGAAAAATCGCGCGACGCCAGTGTGTTCGAGTTTGTCGCTCGCTGGCGACCTTTCCGTGCTGCTGCGCAAAAGTTGTTCCATTTTCGTCACGTTGTTGTTGTTTTTGTGTTTGTTTTTTTTTCGCTTTGTGGATGTGAGGCGGCCGCCATACTGCACGCCGACCAGCCCTTTGCGACCATGGCGGGGTGGGTGGGGTGGGGTGGGGCGGCCGCCGTCCCTTTAAGGCCCTCAGGGCCTCGGCTAGGCCCCTCGGCGAGGCGGGGCGGGGCGGGGCGGGGCGTACCGCGTCACGCGAATATTCCCTCCTTCACGGGCTGTCACGTCCCGGCCGCGTCATTACCGCTACAGCTGCTGGACTACAAAATTGTAGACTGTGTGATGATGCGCCGGTGTCCTGGATGGGAGATGCCTCCTCCTCCTCCTCCTTCTTCTTCCTTCTTCCTCTTCTTCCGCATCGCGTGAGTCTGTCTTTGTCTGTGTGTGTGGTTTGTGTTTAATTTGCTCGCCTCGGTAAATAAATAGAATCGCAATTAAAGCAGACGCGCAGGCGTACGACACATGCACGCATCCTTGTCCAGGCTCACGCGAGCGCCCGTTCTTTTCGTGTTCGCTTTTTTCTTTTTTTTTTCATATTTTCCGCCTCCCCCGTTTGCCTTCTGTATCTCCTATCAGCTGGGTGTCACCCTGTGATTATATTTATACAACACACACACACAGGCTCACAGACACACCGACGGCCCGGCCGGACGGCCGGAGTGACGGCCGGAGGGAAAAAGAAATATGCACGCAACGGGCTGTGCTGGCTGGGCCGGCCTGCAGACCGACTCCGAAGCGAGGCGCCGTTTGGTCGCTCTGTCTGCGTCGCACTCGCGGGGCGTCCCGCGGGGGTGCGAGAGAGACAGAGGGGCCCGCCGGCCTGCCACGTGAGGCGGACGTGTTTTCGACGGGAAGACGAGTCCGCGTGTCACACGACGACGGCGTGGCGGTGCCGGGCCGCGCCGGGCCGTGCGGGGCGGGCACATGACTCCTTGTGATACAAGCGGCCGATAGACGGGCAGACAGGCGGACGCGCCGCCCCCGCACGCCTTTCTCCCTTTCTTTTGCTTGGAGGAGATCGATCCCGCGGGGATGTCGGCGTGGCGGTGCGGGGGCGGCGGGGGCGGCGCGGTGGGGGCGGCAGACATGATGGTGTCGACAGGCGGAGAGGATTCTGAATAGAAATAAAGGGGTGGCGCGAGGCGCGAGGCACGGCGAGGCGCTACAGACAGTCTCCGTGTTCGGGGGACGCGTTCGGAACGCGTTCGGCTCATTTCCCGAAGGCGGGGTGGGGCGGGGCGAGGCGGGGTGGCAGTGACATCGCCGTTAGCGGAAGCGAACAAGCGGGCCGCGGCGTGGCAGGGCGTGGTGTGGAGCGAGGACCTGGCGGTGGCGTTCCAAACTCGAGAGACTCCAGAGTGCGGCGGTACGACCACCGCAGTACACAGCGAACGGCGAGACGGGGCTTGTGGGCTTAGCTTGATGGTCTACTCCGCACCGACTACAACTAGGGTCACTACTATCACCCCCACCCCCAGAGATGGCCGAAGCGCTTACACGACAGGGACATGTGTGGTTTGGTTTGGTTCGACACGGCTCGCGCCCCGCCCCGCCCCGCCCCGCCCCGCCGGACCCAAATTGAATCCGGAATTAAATCGCCCCTCGGCTTGCGCTGCAAATCAAATGATTTGGCCGATTGCTTCGTTCGGCGCCACTTTGAGTTTGCCTTACTTTGCATGCCGGTGGGGGCGGCGGGGGCCGAGGGGGGCGGCCGGGCGTGACGGGCCGCGATTAGAAGTTGGAGCGACATTACCTTTCACCCCTTGAGATGGTGGGGGCGGGGACAGCCTCTCCTTTCCACAGAACGACTAAGTGAGCCTTGTATTGCTCCCGGCAGCAAGCAGCAGCAAGCTGTAGAGCAGGCGTCGCCGGCGCCGCCCCACCCTTCCTGCCCCCCGCAGAGCCGGGCCGCCAGGGCTGCCCAGGGCCGCCCGGGGTCGTTGGAAGCAAAGCAAGCGGGCGGGCAAGGCCGGTAGTAGTAGTCGTGGTAGTTGTCGTAGCGGCCGAGCCTGCGCCGCCGGGCCGCCGGCAGGGCCTCCGGGACTACGGGGCTGCGACTTTCAGTAAGCCCCTGGCATAAGCCCCCAAGGCCCCGCCGCGCTGCCGCGCTGCCTCGAACGAGCAACATCCCCAAATAGTCTTGGCAACTCAAGACTTTCTGGCCGTGTTCGTACACGCCGGGCCGTGCCGTGGCCGTGAGGGATGGCGCGGCCGGCCCTTCCAAATGACTTTACACTGGAAAAGCGGGCCGCCGGGTCAAGTGCGCAAGTCGGACGAGTTTTTCATCTTTGACGGCGGCGGGGTCCTCCGGGCCTCGCGGGGGTGGTGGGATTCGGGGCAAGCCGACGGCAAGCCGAGCGGAACGTCAGATATATAGCCGGGGCAAGCGAGCTAACGGACGGGCACTACCAGGCTCCGGCCAGGCCTCGGACGGGGTCGCGGTAGTAGAGGCCCGCCGCCCCGAAATCCCGCGAGTGCTGGCCGGGCCTCCGCCAGGCCTCGGCCCCGGCCGGGACTAATGCTGGGCCCTTGTCCGACATCGATTTGGCCATTTCGGAGGCGAAGGCCCGGCGGCCCAGAGGCAAGTGGCTCAGCGGCCCAGACCGGCGACGTGTGCTACACTGCTACACGGCCCAGGCCGGCCGCTATGAGAAATCAATGCGGCCACTTTGGCCTTTGGCGGGGAGCTGCGCGCCGCGCTGCGCTGCGCCTGTCGGACCCCAACTCCCTGACTTCCCGTTTGCCAGCCCAGCAGTTCGTAGCGAGGGGGCGGCGGGCCGCAGTCGCCGGCAAAAATCGCAGAAACTGCGACCGAGTCGGAATATGATTGCCTCCGCGAATGGTCGGCCAGGAGTGGCGCTCTGTGTCGGGGCGGGGCGGGGCGGGGCGGGGCGGGCGGGGCGGGGCGGCCGCGAGGGCCTCCAGGGGGCCCGGCCCGCCCGGCCCGTCGTATCGCGGCGCACCATCGCCGTCCTTCCGTCTGCGGCGAGCCCTCCGACGAGCCCAGCCCTCCCTTCCGCCACCCCCTCCGTCACGCTCCGCCCGCCGTGTTTTATGCCAGAGATATTCCCCATAATTCTGCAGTTTGTGTGTTTTCGGGAGGACGACGGCGAGGTGGTGCCGCTACATTGTGTCTCCCCCCTCCCCACTCGGTTCGAATGTCAAGGTTCTAAACGAAAGCGTTTCTCTGTTCCAGGCCGGGCTCGACCTCAAGGACAACCTGCCGCCCGGCGCCGGGGCCTGGCCCTACCCCTCAGTGTACCACCCCTACGACGCCGCCTTCGCCGGCTACCCTTTCAATGGGTGAGTACGAGTGACGCCCGGGATTGTTTTAATGTCGGAAAGCTGTTACCGACACCCCGCGCGGTGCCGCGCCGCGCCCACCCCTACAAATCCATACACTAACTAATCCCCCGGGCCAGCCCTCCCTCCTCCCCTTTAATAGTTGTGTCAGCGTCGTTCTCGACTCATGCATATATTGAATACAGTAACGGAGAGGCCGTGGCGTACTTACCGCAGACTGATTCCGACATGCTGCCGTCCCTCTCGCACTCGCGGCTCGTCCCGCGGCCGTGCGAGAGAGAGCGACAGAGTGGCTCGCAAGCAGCGCGCAAGCAGCCCGCAGGGTGCCGGCTGATAAAAGGGACGAAAAGGGCATTAATAGCAGCCAGAGATGCGGGGGAGGATAATGCTGACGGCACGCCCCTGGGGGCACGGCGACGCACAGCGACGCGCCGCGACGCTAGCCGACGCTCGCCGACGACGCGGGGCGGGGTTGTCGAGGTGTTTGGGGGTCCCTCTGGGATTTTTCCTCCCGGGAAAGGCATACGCGGGGAGGAGGGCTCGTTTTTAGGGGAGGATGAGGCTGCCGGGAGAGCGAAGGTGTGATGATTTGACATAAAGTCTACAGGGAGATATCTCATCTAATAGCCGAGCGCGGCGCGTACGTGTGTGTGTGCGTGTGTGAGCGCACACCGACGCGGGGGAGGGGTCTCACTAAGTAAGAGCGAGACAGGCTTCGGGGAAGTCCCCGCAGAGGACTAAGTGCATTCCGGCCGGCACCGCCTGTTACGCGGTGTGCGGCTACGCGGCCACTCCGTCAATCTCAGTGACAATTAAAACAACGAGCGTTGCGTGTTTTGTTGTTGTTGTTGGGGAAGGCGCAGCGCGCTGCCAATTTCCTTTGTTGTTGTTTTGCCGCGCGCGCTCCTCTGGCGCCGCCACGCGGTGATGCGAGTGAGTGGGTGAGTGTGAGTGTGCCCGTGTATTTACATGTGTCCCGGGTGGGGCTCCTGTTATCGCGCGTATCGCGTTCAGGGGCTGCAGGGCCCCAGCCAGCGCAGCCCGCGCAGCCAGCCCCCGTCAATTTGTCCAAGTCGCGCTGGGGGCGGCGCGGGGCGGCGCGGGGCCGCGGGGCGCAGGGGGTGGGAAAGAGATGGATGAACGCGGCGCGGCAACGGATTGGCTCAAATTAAAACAAGGGAGGTGTTGAAAGATTATCCACACCGCCCTGGGCCTGCTCGTGCCTCTCATCCGCGACGCGACGCCCCTCGCGGCGATAACGGGAGGTTCAATCCCATTCTATTCCGGGCGACATACGCGCCGCGGGCGCTCGCTCTGTCTCTCTCTCGCTCGCGGGAGTGCCGCGTGAGTGGGGAGAGAGAGAGAGAGAGAGAGAGAGAGAGAGAGAGAGAGAGAGAGAGGGAGGCGCGGTTCGAAAGCGCGGCCCGCGCCTCAAGTTTCGCGCCGCCCCGCTTACCCCTTCCCGGCTCGGCCCCGGCCGTCGTCGCGCCGACACCATTTTTCTCCAGATGGCGCCACACGTCGCCGTGCGTGCGGCGGTGTGCGTCCGGAGCGCGGCCCGGTCGTCGCCTAGCCTCGCGCGGGGCAGCCCTGGCCTGGCCCTGCCTTGGCCTAGGCCGGCCGCGCGGTGTCGCGGTGTAGAAATACGCACCGCGAAGACAACATATATTTAAGCTGCGAGCGCTTTTCATCAAATGCAAACACGGCTGAGTCTCATTAAATTAAAGCGCACCTCCGTCTCTCTCTCTCTCTCTCTCTCTCTCTCTCTCTCTCTCTCTCTCTCTCTCTCTCTCTCTCTCTCTCTCTCTCTCTCCCTCTCGTAGACCAGCAGCGCACACCGGGCGTCTCTCTCCTTTCTTGATTCCGGTCGCTCTCACTCACACACACACACACTCACACACATGTACCGGTGCGGAACCCGCGTGCCGACTAGCGGACTGGAGATGCATAATTATGTAAAAGTGTATACGCGCGTGGATACGATACCTCTCACACACACACAGACACACACACACGCGCGCGCGGAGCAGTGCAACTGCCCTTGTCCAAATCAGCGGTTAATATTTATAGTGCGACGCTGTCCCCCTCGCCTCCTTCCTTGTTCCACGTTTTGGGGAGAAAAATGAGAGCGGTTCGATGTGGCGGCCGATAGGGGGGCTGGTGCGTCGTGCACGTCGCGCACGTCGTGTACGAGGGGAGCGGCATTTGTTTTTGGCGGTTCAACGTGTTGACACCGCAGGGCACCGCAGGGTATCCATCCGCCCCGCGTCGCAGCGCCGCCGCGTCGCCAGCCTAGGAAGGCCCCTACATCCGCTATAAAGGCTCGCTGCTACCCTCGCACAAATAACCAAGCAAAAAGATGGAGGAAATTGATAGAAGGTAGTGGTTTGAGGGGCGCATCAAAATGTGCAGGTTTCGGTTACTCATCACTTGACTCATCACTCATCATTTGACGCTTTCACGGTGCAGGCCCGGCCCGGCCCGGCGCGGGGCTCGGCATTCGTCTTGCTGATGAACGCGGGGCGTTGACGGCCACCTCAATCTCGCGCCGCGCATCTCATTGGCACCTTCGCGCCGACGGTTGCAGCGAACATTTTCATACTCCGGGCCTCGAGTCGACGGGGTCCTCTCCTCTCGCCGTGATGGATCGCCGCCCGCCCGCGTGGCGCACGGCGTGGCCCACGGGGCCTCCACCGGTAGCACACGCGGCTAATTTCGGTTGTCTCGTGGAATTCTCCCGGAATGGGAACTTTTTTCGGCCTTTTTTTTCGGGGTCCGTTTTTTAAAAGGACTCTGCTCGGCAGCGTGTGGCGCACGGCGTCGGTCGGCCCCGCCGCGCGGCGCAGCGCTTGTTCCGAAGAAAACACGATGTGTGATGAACGCGCCGGTGTAAAATCCTAATGACCAGGCGTCATCTGTCACCGGGCCAGCCGGGCCGGGCCAGCCAGCCCGCGCACCGTGCCGTACTTTCCCCCCTTTTTTTGCCCGCCCCTCGGCGGCGAGGCGCGCGGCGCCCCCAGGGACTCGCACGTCGCCGTCGTCGAGGGGCCAGGACACTGCCAGGACACCGCCAGGACACCGCCAGGACGACGAGGAGGAAGGGCGAGTCTTGGGGGACGAGCCAAGTGATGCTCATTCTCCGTACGGTCGTGTGTGTGTGTGCGTGTGTGTGTGTGAGTGAGTGTGGAGGTGAGGAGGCCCTGCACTGCCACGCCCAGGTCGATGAGTCGTCGGCACGTCGACCGATTCCGTCAGTTGTAAATGCAGCAATGTTGCAGTGGCGGCGCTGGCGGCTCGGTGCGGGGGGTCGTACCTCGGCGTCGTACCTCCGCGTCGTACCGTCGCACCGGGATCCCAGCACGCGGCACTGTTGCTGCTTGTAAGACCTGGAAAGGCAAATGCGAAACGAGTTGCTGATAACGCTGAGCTAACGGCCTCGGCGGTAAAAATGGCAGTCCAGGGTCTCGCGGTGCTGCCGAGGGTCAGGACGCCCCGGCAGTCAGACATGCATTTGGCATTTGGCGCGCAAGACGCGGAGCGACTCGCCTTGAGAGCGGCGCGACGAGCGCGCCTTTTGGTTTTGCTTTTATTTTTCTTGTTTCCCTGTCATTTTACGGCCGATCGGCGCCGTAATCGCTCTGTTTCCTTTTACCGCCGGCCGGACACGCTGCGGCGCTGCGCCGCGCGGCACTCTGGCTTTCGAGACGGACACATAGTTGCGCAAGATGGCCGCGCTCTGTCGCTCCGCCGCGGGCCGCCGCGCGAGAGCGAGAGAGACGGAGCCACTGGCGCCACGTCGCGCGTTGCGCCACCGCTCGTCATAAACCGTGTCCTCTGCCTCCACCTCGCGCGGGCGGCCGACCGTCCCGTGCGTTTATCGCGAATTTCTTGCTGGTTCTGTTTTTTTTTGTTTTACGGGGATCATCATGGCGGTGCAGGCAGTGTGCAGGCAGTGCACTAGGGCCCCACTAAAAGAGCGCGCTATTGCCGTTGGAGTAGCCATGCTGGCCATTGACAGGCCATTGCAAGCGACACGCGCGCATCCGTGCAGCGGACAGACAGACAGACAGACAGACAGACAGACAGGACCCGCGCATGGGTGAAGCGGCCAGCATGTAAGACCCTCGCCTCGCGCCCGAAGGCGGTCCATGGCGGCTCCGACTTGCTTAAAAGCTAATGTAGATTTTACAGCTGGCTCGCGTTTTACAGTCAACCGTCTTAAAATTGTTGCTCACTTTCCTTGACCTCCGCCTCCCTGACAGGCCGCTTCACCGCTTCGCCGCTTCACCACTTCACCGCTTCACTCACTTCCCCGGACCCGCTTTAAATTGGGTCGCCCATTCATTCGGCCTGCCGGGCCGTGGCCGGGCCCGCCACCTGGCCGCGGTGATGAACAGGTTTTGGCGAAGACACCGTCAAAAACAAAGTCCAGCCCGTTTTTTACCTGTTTTCGGAATTCAGTTGATTTCCTCGCGTTTATGCAGTCCTGAAGTCTCCCACGTAAACATCGTGTATGTATAAAGATCGTAAAAAGTGTAACTACGGCGCGGTCGCCCGGCTTGACGGCGACTCGAGGCTTGTCCCGATGGCTATCTGGGCCGCTTATTCGCAGTCAGAGGGCTGGCGCGCGGCGTACGCTTATTCGCAGTCAGGAGAACGCTTATTCGCAGTCAGAGGGCTGGGGCGACACACGCTTGTTCACAGTCAGGAGACCGCTTATTCGCAGTGAGAGAGCTGGCGCGGCACACTCTTATTCGCAGTCGGGAGAACGCTTATTCGCAGTCAGAGAGCTAGCGCTGCGCACGCTTATTCGCAGCGGGGAGACCGCTTATTCGCAGGGCATACTGCCCCCCGTTTTGCCCGTGATTAGCGCGGCGAGGTGTCGGCCCGACGGCCTGGAGGAGTCGCAGCCCGGCCGGGCCTTGATTAACTGATCTGGAGAAGGAACGGCCACAATGCGGAAAGATTGGCATCAAAACGGGTTGCCGCACGCGGCCCGC